TTTTTTTTATTTGCAACTTTTTGAGAAAGCTCCATACCGCCTTCCACAGGGGTTGCACCATTTTACACTCCCACCAACAGCGAGTAAGGGTTCCAGTTTCTCCACAACCTCGCCAGCATTTATTTGTTGCGTGCTATTCTGTTAAATTTTGCTATTCTGACTGGGGTGAGATCTCATAGTTGTTTTGATTTGCATCTCTCTTAGAGCTAAGGATTTTGAACATTTCTTCATGAGCTTGTTGGCCATCTGAATGTCATCTTTGGTGAAGTGTCTGTTCATATCCTGTGCCCGTTTTTCTATTGGATTATTTACCTTTATTTTGTTGTGGTGGACCTTTCGTTTCTTGAGTTTACTCTGTCAGCACACCTTTTCCCAGAAATCAGCGAATGTGTCTGCTTTTGATGGCTGCACGTTGAGCTGGCTCAGGGGGCCTGGGTCTGAAGTCACTGAACAGGGTACCACGTGGGCATCAGCATTCCCTCGAGCCCCCCTCGTGATTTGAATCTGCCACCAACTTTGAGGGAGGCAGTGATGCACAAAGGAGGTTCTCCTCTTCCCAGCCTGTCCAGCAGCCGTGTCGGCCGTGCACGGTTCCTTCAGCCTTTCTGTGTGCCGGAGCACATGCTGGTGGTCAGTGCCGACTCTTAGCTGACTCCAGTGGGTTTTCAGAGGCAGGAAATTGCGTGGGAGGTGACTGCCCATCTTTGTCCCACAGAGCAGTTGGTGGATCCAAACCAACTGCCTTCAGGTTGGCAGGACAGCTCCCTACCACTCGGCCACCAGGGCTCCCTAGAGTATGTGAAGTCTCCAGAAGAAAGACAATGACCCTGGTCCGTCCCTGTCCATTTTACGGTCATAAGTCTTAAGTGAAACAAATGGGATTAGCCTTTGTCAAAGTAGGAGTGTAGGCCAGCCACTCGTTATAATTCAGTCTACCGTCCTCTGCCCACAGAACTGTCAGGGCGTGTCCTGCAGGGTCCTCCGCTGGCAGTGGTGGGCACCTGCGCTGTCGACTCTACGGTCAGCCTCCCCGCATCTGCATCCATACCCCCTACCTCCAACTAGGAGTAAGAAGGGCCACGTCACCCCACCCCACCCCCTACCCCGGCGTGGTGCTCGTCCCCATGTCCTTCCCTCTGCTGACAGCTCGGGCTCTGCACACTGGTGATCAGGAATTGTGCTGCCAACACAAAGGTGCACAGTCGGAACCCACCAACTGCTCTGCAGAGCAAAGATGGGCCGTCAACTCAGGTGTGATTTACTGCCTCTGAAAACCTGTGGGAGTCAGCTATGGGTCAGTTCCAGCGCTGTGGTGAGCACAAGAAGCTTGACAGCTCAGACTGTGGTGTCAGGCTTTATAAATACGAGAGAGACAGAAATAGAACAGGTGACCCGCCTGATGCCTACCCGGCAGACAAAATGATTGCGTTTCCAACAGTGGCTGGAAATGATTTATGTGTAAAAGAAAGCTTCTTGGAACAAGAGGTAAAGTATCGTATTACTCACTCACTGTGATTTGGAACTGACTCCTTGCTGACCCTCCAGCAGGTTTTCAGAGGCTGCAAATCTCATAGGAGGAGATTGCCCATCTCTTTGTTATTGGGGTGTTTTTTGTTGATTTGTCTACAAAGTTGGTATACACTGTGTTTCACACTATCCTTCATTTAATTGTGTTTCAAACAATTGTTCCTGTTCATTATGTTTATAAAATTAACCACCATTGGGCTATGGCCACCATTACCCTTTTTCCAGACCCCTGCCGGATTTCCTTTACCTCCTTTACCTCCTCCTCTACGTACCATATTGTGCAACTCTGTGATTCCTCCCCTCACCTCACCCCTCTGCTCTCACCCTTTCCCACATACACGTTTTACTAGATACCTATTTCTACAGTAATGGTCTTATGCAACATTTCTCCTTATGAGACTGAGTTCACGTAGCATAATGCTCTCCCAAGTTAGGTAGTAATTTTCAAAATTGTTGCGCCCGAGTGCTGCGTAGTATTCCATCGTATGAATGTGCCACAGGTTCTCAATCCATTTGATTGTGGTTGGACAGTTGGGCTGTTTCTGTGCCCTTGTGATGATGAATAACACAGCTGTGAACCTTGGTGTCTCTAAGTCTCTGTGTCGTATTTCTCATTTTCTCAGGGTGTATTCCTAGCAGTGGAATAGCTGGGTCATACAGAATTTCTATGTTGAGCTTTTTGAGGAAGCGCCGCCATGCCTTCCAGAGTGGTTGCACCATATCTCTCCGCGTCCTATCCAGTACTTATCGCTTGTTGTCTGTTAACACGTTGCCGCAAATGACGGCAGCAAGAATGTGTTTCCAAGCCCAGTCGTCAATTTAAGTCTGCTCCAGGGTGTGATGGTGTCTCATTGTGGTATGATTTGCATCTCTCTTACTGTTGGTGATTTTGAGCATCTCTTCATGTGAAAGTGCCCGTCTCTCTCTCCCAAGTCAATCGTTGATGGATTCAAACCAGTTATATATATGTCATCTAAAGACTGAGAACTTAGCACGAGTGGATGTGTTGACTTTGCCTCTCACTCCCAGCTTGATGTTTCCATCCTGCAGGTGGTTTGTGATGGGGCCACCTCGATCTGGAACAGGAATCCACATTGACCCACTGGGCACCAGCGCCTGGAATGCCTTGGTCCAGGGACACAAGCGCTGGTGCCTGTTCCCCACCAGCACACCCCGGGAACTCATCAAGGTGACCCGAGAGGAAGGAGGGAACCAGCAGGACGAAGCCATCACCTGGTTTAATATCATTTATCCACGGACACAGCTGCCCACCTGGCCACCCGAATTCAAACCCCTGGAAATCTTACAAAAACCAGGAGAGACTGTCTTTGTACCAGGTACACCCGAACTGGACACCAGTCCATGCTTTGATTTCAGTAGTTTGTCATTTTGGAGTAGAGCTAGAGAGTGAGACCAGAGAATCCCTTTGCATCCGCCTTTAAGTGACTGGCCGGCAGTGAGGCACAGCATCTGCCTCTGTAACTAAGGGGCTGCTGCCCGCATTTCCTGCACTTTAGCTTTAAAACTTGTGATGAACTCGCCACACCAGTGTTTACCCCAGAACAGGACTAGTGTCTGAGGAGTATTTTTCTGTGATTGGTTTTGGATGCACTGGTGTGCTGGTGGGCTGAGCAGGAAGTCCTGCCTTTGGTGCAGGTCGTGGCTGCCCTCTGTGTGTGAAGTTAGAACTGCACTCTGGGATTTTCAGCGACTGGATTTTTGAGATCACCAGTCCGTCCTTCTCATGTTCCCCTTGGATGGACTCTTAACTTCCAACCCTTCAGTTAGAAACCGTGCACATTAATTGTTTGGATTACCCAGAGGCTCCAGTTTAACGTGGTTGTTGTTGTGGGGTGCTGTGACTGGATTCCAGCTTGTGGCGACCCCACATGACTCAGTAGAAGGGTCTGGTGTGTTTGTGGCTGTGGTCTGTGGTGTGCTTGGTCTTCTTCCTGGAGCCGCTGTGGGCTGGGCCTGCCAGCACTTCAGTTAGCCCTGTGTTAGCAGCCGTACCTGTGGCAACCAGGCTGGTCCTTAGAGCATAGCTGTGAAGGATGCCCTCAGGGTGCAGAAGTGGACACGTCTTGTCCCCAGACTGACTGGTGGGTTTGAAACAACTTCTCAGTTCATGCATGGGTCTGCCAGAATCAGGAGCTAGGAAATCCCGCACCGGAAAACTCATGCTCTGTGAAATATGTGAAAGTCACATTATGTGGGACAGGGATTCCCCTTCTAGAACTTGCTGCCCTTAACAGTAGTTTTATTCAAAGATTTGGATAAGAGACCCCAAACTTGTTGTGTTTGACCAAATAGTACAACAGCCCTAAACCCTGCTCTATCCTGCGCCAACTGCACTGCCTCTGACACACTCATCCTGATTACCCCAGTCACTGAATCAATCCACCTCATAGAGGGCCTTCCCCTCCTGCGCTGTCCCTCTACCCTACCAAGCATGATGTCCCTCTCCAAGGACCTGTCCCTCCTTACAACATGTCCAAAGTATGTCAGACGAAGCCCCAGAATCCTTGCCTCCAAGGAGCAGCCTGGTTTAACCCTCTCTAGGATGAATCTGTTTGTTTTCCTAGCAGTCCAGGGTACATTCAATACTCTTCTCCAGCACCACAGCTCAAAGGCGTCAATTCTCCTTCTATCCTCCCTAGTCATTGTCCAACTCTCTGATGCATAACAAGTGATTGCAAAGACCATGGCCTGTATCAGGTGCACCTTAGTCTCCAGAGATATATATTTTAATATCAGAAATGTTTCATTTTCATTATTTTCACTGTTGCACATTTTCTTCCTCCCCAATCTGGCCCTACATTGTACCCCTTGTTCCAGATTGTTGGCATATAAAGCAGACCAGGTCTCTGTCACAACCAGTCTCCTACTGTTGCATGGAAGCAGCCATAGCTAGTGTGTAAGTGAATGAACATGGCTGTGCTCCAATAAAACTTTATTTACAAAAAGAATGTCATCTGCTGATCCCTGGATCAGAGCCACATTTATCATTGAGAGCCAGTGTACTTGATGGATAGGAACCCTTAGTTTCAGGGTCTGTGTGATGTGCTAATGGGGTCCCAAGTCAGTCCTTGTCTTAACGTTTATTCTGTTGGCTTTCAGGAGGCTGGTGGCATGTCGTCCTCAACCTCGACACCACCATCGCCATCACACAGAATTTTGCCAGTAGCACCAACTTCCCTGTGGTATGGCACAAGACGGTAAGAGGGAGACCAAAGTTATCGAGGAAATGGTATAGGTGAGAGACTTTTTTTTCCCCTTAGATTTGCTTTGTTCCAATTCCTACCCCAGCAATATACGGTGGGTGCCTGGGAGAAGCTGGGGCCCAGGTGCTTGTGAATCGAGGAACCTGGGCCACGGTCAGGGTCATGCTGGGGCAATTGCCAGTCTCGGGGTGTCCAGTTAAGACTGCATGTTTGAGCAAAGCCAGGCCCAGCCTGGTCCTCCCTGGTTGGTTCTTGCTGTGTTGTGCCCTCTTTCTCCACGGTGCGCGCTGGCAGAGAGGCCACCTGGTTTGGGTTTGGTTTCGAAGCTTTTTCTCACCCAGGAGTGCTGTTCCCATTTGATGCATTTTCCTCAGTTCTGTGAGAGAGGTGGTGGCCCCGGAGACTTAGCTCCTTTGTTTATCCACAGAACAGATACAGCACGGGCCGCGGCAGTGCAAGCCACCCCCAGCCACCCCGTGCCACTGTGTCCCAACCTTGACCTGGAGGGACCAGCTCTCGGGGTAAGAGGGGTTCCGGCTCGTTCCGGGCTCAGCCTCCCCGCCGAGAGGGCCAGCAAGGGTGGTGGCATCCCTTCTCCCGGGGGTCTGGGGCGACTGCGGCCCCTCACTCCGCAGGCCGCTGTGTGCTGTGACGGTCACCCCACCAGCCTTGCCCCGAAGCTGCTCTTTTGTCCCCAATGCCAGTGGACACACCTTCCGTTACCTGAGGGGGCTGCCCTCAGAGCCCACTGCCGTTTTCACATACCGGTTGGGGCTCTTTGTTACTTGACTTCTTGTATTATGAGCACAACTTTTTACAAAGAGCATTTAACTGAACCTGAGTTCAGTCACTACGTGTTGTGTTGTGTTGTGGAAATAGAAGGTTTTTAGTGCTTGGTTGTTTTTTGGTGTTTTAAATAAAAAACTATTTAGGAAAAGAAACTGGTTTCTTCCAAGGTGGCAGGAGACTGAGCCTGCCTCCAGTGGCCTGAGCCCCAGGTGGGCCCCTGTCAGCACCTCCGTGCAGGTGAGAGGAAGCGGCAGGTAGCAGGCCCTCCTACTGTCGTGCTGGCTGACGGCAGGTGTAGAAGGTTCAGGAGCCCCCACCACTCTCCAGACTCCTGGATTGTCACACTGCACATTTCCACACGTTCCTGAGAGGTGCAGGACTCGCTGTGTGTTCCCTCCTTGTGGGACTGTCGCTGGCCACCACACTGAGACCCTCCTTGTCCCTCAGGATCCTGAAGCAGGAGCACCCCGAGCTGGCTGTCCTGGCTGACTCGGTTGACCTGCAGGAGTCCACAGGCATCGCCTCCGACAGCTCCAGCGACTCGTCCAGCTCGTCCAGCTCCAGCTCGTCTGACTCCGACTCTGAGGTGAGGCCCAGCCTGCTCCCCACCCGCTTTCCGGGCTCCCGTCTGCACGTCACAGTGGGACACACGCGAGCTGTCTCGTGTCCTCTGGTCGTGTCTGGCATGGTGGACCTGGCCATCGCATAGCTTCTCTGGCAGTGGCCCCGGGAGGGGTAAAGACAGTTCTGAGAGTGTGGCACAGTCAGCAGGTGGGGTCAGGTAGACGCAAAGCCCCACGAGCTGGATGGGAAGCTGAGGGGTCTGTGCCCACTTGGAAGCAGGGCACGCATGTCCCTGCTGAACTTGGTCAGGTCGTGGACCCAGCGCTGTGCTGGACGGTGAGGTCCGGCATGATGGAGGGCACCTGCGCATTTCGAGGGTCGTTTTTGTTGTGTCATCATCAGTCAGACAGAACACACCTACCCTGGGGCTTCCGAGGCTGCAGTCCGTGGGACCAGGTCACCATCACCCGGAGCTGCCAGTGTGTTCACTTACTGTCCTACACATTGATGGCCAAAGGCTCGGTCACTGCACCAGTAAACCACCAAACACAGCCCGTTGCTGTTGAGTCCATTTCAGTCCACAGCAACCCTGAAGGTCCGGCTAGAGCTGTCCCCAGGCTTTCTGCAAATCTCTTCAGGTGGACACTGCCACATCTTCCCCCAGCGGTGCCCAGTGGATTCTAAGTGCTGACCTTCTGATTAGCAGCCACTGAGTCAGTTCTCGGTTATAGTGACCTTCCTTCTGAGGCTGTTAGGGGAGGAACTATTCTTCAGAGCCCTGGTAGATTCAAACTTCTGACCTCTGGATAATTGGCCCCATGCATTAGACACTAGGCCAACAGGGCTGCTGAGTGCTCTGATTTCAAACAGATCACCCTTCCCCCAGAGAACAGCGTCTGAGGGCTGGGGCGCTGCCAGGGCCCACTCACCAGTCTGACCCCTGAGGTCGGGGGCTGGCTTGAGGAGGAAGTGGGCTGCGCCAGGCCGACACACTCTCTCTCCTGAACGCAGTGTGAGTCTGGGTCTGAAGGCGACGGCATGGTGCACCGCAGGAAGAAGCGGAGGACATGCGGCATGATGGGGAATGGGGACACCACCTCCCAGGACGACTGTGTGAGCAAAGAGCGCAGCTCCTCCAGGTGACCGTGCCGGACGCCCCCTGGAAGGAGGCGCACAGTGCGGGAGGGCTGGGCCGCGGGCTGCCGCCGAGGGGAGGGCTCCCGGCGCCGAGGAGGACACTCAGCCTGTGGCAGTAGCTCTGCCCTCTGTGGCCTGTGCAGAGGACCCGTATGGATAGTGCCAAGAGAGCCCTTGACATTATTTAATAAAGTGGAATCGTTTTACATCTCTGGCATCTCTTCCTTGGAAACACAGGAATTCCGCTGGGTTTTTCCCCTTGTTTTGTGGTCTTAGGGGAGAGTGGGAACTCGGGCGTGTGTCCTCAGGGACGGGCTGGGGGCTGACAGAAGGTCCTCCAGGCTCTTGTGAAGAGCAGGGCCCTGGGCAGTTGGCCTTCACTGCTCAGTGCTCAGCCAGCCAAAGTGGGCAGACGCAAAGCTCTTGAATGTTCTGTGACATCACTGACTTCAGTCTTTTTTGTAGCTAGAGTGTTTGTAACATTCTTGTCACGTTTTGGGTTTTGATTTTGTTACTGGATCTCAGTTAAAACGTAAAGTCGCCATCAGTTGAGGGACTCATCTGCGGGCACTTTCCTAGTGCCGAGCATGGACTCGCTTTAGCAGGGAGGCCTCTTTCCCGGGCTCTGCGGTCCCTCAGGTTGGTGGCAGCCTGCGGCCAGTTTGCACAGTGCTGTGGAGTGGAGCCAGGTGCAGCAGACACGCGAGGTGGTGGAGAGATAGAGCACATGAGGGATCCTAGCTGTCCCTCCACACCTGGTGACAGCACCTTCCTGCGCTGGTCTTGGCTGCTCTCATGAGCCAGTTTTTGTTAGGTGGGAGTAGGGCCCACCTCCTTTCTGTTGTCTTCCTCCTGCTCTGATTCCAGAAAGCCAAGAGCATTTATGCGCCACTGACCGTCTCTGAGCCCTGCTTGTCCCCTCCCCCCAGTCATTCTGACTTCTCTGGTGGCTGTATTTTCTGTCTGACTGTTCTCTGTGACCTGAAGTAGTTTCTCTTAACTGTGCTCCAAGCCACACACACAACCCCACCCCACACCCTTGCTGCCCCAAATTAGCTTCCTGTACACCGTGTGTACACTTGGTGTGTGCATTACATGCAAAATCATGGTAACCAGCTCTTGGCTTGAGATGACAGTTCCTGAGAACACTTGAGAGGGAAGCCTTGCTGTTACTTGCATGCACGTGGCTGGGGTGGGAGCGCTGCACCCCATTCCATGTGCTCCCTGGTGATAGGCACTTGCACTTTCCTTGGCAGGATCAGGGACTCCTGTGGAAGCCGGGCTCACCCCTGAGTGACAGAGGCTCCCTGAGCTGGCCCCAGCGTGTGCTGGTGACATACACTCAGCCGCGTTCCACCTCTTCTCCTCCCGCCTTCTCCTTGTCTGCTCTGAATTTGGATACTCCTGGGCCAAGCTCCTCTCCCTCATCAGATGGCGTTTGACCGCTTACTGAGACTAGGTTACTAAGAAGTTCAATCCCACCGACACTCGGTGGGCTGGACGGCTCTGAGCTGTCTCCAGTAAACGAGCAGATCGTCGGCCAGGTTGGAGCGCGGCGGCCCTGGCAGCATCTCACCATGGCCGGTAACTGAAGTGACATTGGTAGGCACCATCTGTCCCCCGCGCTGGTGCATACAAGCAGAGACATCGCTGGTGGTGAGCTGATTGTGACATGTGGCAATCAAGATGTAAGAAGCGCTCCATTAACATCATCCAGGAACACACATGACGGCCCCTCTCTGGCCACTGCCCGGGACTGGCCACTGCCTCGTCCACGGTCCCTTTCTTGTTCTCCACCATCAAAGCAGCTGTTCAGTTCTGGGGGCATTTGATACGATGCATGTGGTGGGTTTCTTTGTGGCGCAGATGGCCAGTGAGGTAATACAGCACACGAGGCTTCCGGTTAAGGAACACTGTGATGTGTTCTCACCACAGAACTCAAACTCTCAGTGGGTTTGATCAGACTGGCCCTCTCCTGGCACCCAGTTCAGCTGCTGGACGTTTCCAGTGCACCAGCAGGCTGTGCGTCTGGCTTGAAGCGTGCAGAGGGCTCCTGTTGGTGCAAGGTGTGATCACGCTCAGAGGTGGGCCTCTAGTCACCAAAGTCTGTTTATATTTAACTGCCCGGAGTATCTGGGGATTGATTAGCAGGCTGCATTCCTGCTCTCCTGATTCACCTGCTTGCCTTAATCGGTCCCTAAAATGACACAAGAGCGGGCTGTAGAGGGCGTGCAGGCAGAACCCTCCCCGGGCTGGGACGTGGGGACCGCTGGGTGAGAGAGGAGGTGGTCTCGTTAGCATCCAGAGAGCCCAGAGTTGATAGATAGTTGGTGTTGCTTCTCAGAATGCCCCTGGAAAGGAGTACCCTGCAGAGGCCAGGCATCCTTGTCCAGCCTGAGACCTGCTCTCGACCTAGCAGCAGGCTGCCTCGCCCCAGGAGGTGGGCCCTGGTCTGGTCTTGGTTCCGGTTCTTTCTCCCGATGGTCACCTATGTCAGTGCCACCTCAGTGTGGGGAAGGCATCCTGTGGACGTGAGGAGAGTCGTGTCCGAGCTGTGGAATCTGCACAGCATACCTCGTTTCCTTGCACTTCACAGAGCAAGCTTTGTTCTACAGTTGAAATTTGGCCTCCTTTGTGTCAGTCCAGAAGGGGCCATTTCTCCAGCATTGTCCCCCCTCTCACATCTAGGTAACCTTCAAAGTATTTCAGACTTTTTCATAAATGCACATTTAACGGACTGCAGTCCAGTGTAAGCATTACTTTCACGGGAGCAGGGAAACCCAAAAATTTCACGCTGCTGTGGTGAGAGACTCACTCAAATGGAGTGGTCTGGCTCCGAACTGCTGTCTCTGAGGTGTATCTGGACTTAACATCTGATGAATGTTTCTCCTTTGGTTTTTTAAAAGGTTTTCTCATCATTTCCCAAAGGAGGCTTTTCTAGCTTTGCCCCTCAGTATTAATACTGGGGAATTCATTGTCCCTTTTCTCCTTTGATGCTGGCTTTTCCGTTCAGACCAGTGCCTCCTCCCGCTGCCATTTCAGCAGAAGGCCATTTGCCACCAGGGGGCATGGTAGGACGTGATTGCCAACGGCTGGGACGCTGCAGAGGGAATTGGGCCTGAAAAGATGAGCTGCCCAATTGCCCTTCTCTGGATGTGAAAGTTGATCTCTATCCATGGAGCAGCATCGGAACCCGGGTCCAGCCAGCTCACAGGTCCACAGCCACCTCTCCCAGAAGGGTTTGGCCAGCGTAGATCACATGCTGCTTTCTGGCATTTCTCTCCCCTGCTGGAGAAATGGTGGGGCTCAGTTTGTTTCAGCCCCATTCCAGCTCTCCCAGGCCAGCCAAGAGCGCAGAAGCAGAAGGCAGGAGGTGAGTGGGGACCAGGGATGTGTCTGTTTAGAAGCCACCTGGCTGGAGCCTCTGTTGAGCGCCGTCAACAACAGGAAGGTGAAGTGTTAAACTGTAGGGTCACTCCAAACCAAGGGCTGATCGTCCAGCAAGGTTGCTAGCTGTAGAGGATGAGGCTGTGGCTTAGGGGAGATGTGGGACAGGAGTGACAGATACAGGGGCACAGGACAGCACAGGCCAGAGAATTCGTCACACGCTCACGTGACGGGGTTGGTGATCCTGGGGTGGTGACATCAGTGACTCTGAAGGGACCGTCTCAAGCAGGGCTGTTCCTGCTGGCGTGTTGCTCTCCACGTGGATCTGGCCCTTCAGTAACCCTTCCTGCGTCCTGTAGGGTGTGGGGACCCGGTTCTGGACAGGTGGTGGTGGAAACACTGGGTCCCCAACTTGCATTCTAATGGGTGCCAGTCAGCCACGCAGCTGTGCCTCCTCATTTCCACACCTGGATTCCAGGTCTTCACCAACAAGGGTTAGGAACGCACCTCGCGGCCCTGCGGCAGGGCGAGGATTTTGTGTCAATTCGCTGCTGAAATGATCAGCCGGAAAGGGGCCGAGGGCGGTGCTTTAGCAAGGTGCCGGATGTTCAACCTGGGTGTGTGTGATTAGGGTCTGGGAACGAGCCTGAGCCAGAGCAGGCGTTTTGGGGATCAGTTTTGTGAACAGTGCTGTGTAGAGTAGGCGTGTAGGGACGAGCCTGTAGGCTCTCAGTCTTGTGTAGCATTTCCTTGTCCGAATTGTTTCTGGTGCGTGTGCCGAGTACTGGTGGGATCCAAATAGAGTCTGGGGTCTCCTGCGCACCCCCTCTCCCCAGCTCACGTCAGGATGTCATGTTGCTGGTCTGTTGTATACAGGAAAGCCAGCTGAACCGAGCCGTCGAGAGGCAGGCTCTCAGCATTGTCTCATTGTTTGGACACTTGGACTTCTCAGAAGGAGGAGCCGGGCCGGGGTCTGCTGGAGGGCACACTTGGCCTGTGCCCGGACAACTGCCCAGCCCGCACTTGGCGAGCGCTCTGAGCAGGCTCTGCGTTCTCCTCTCCACCACGGGGTCCTCCACAGATGGCCTGTGGGTCTGCCATGGGACTAGTGTTTTTAACTCTGATTTAGGTGAAACTTAGTCATCATTTTAAATAAAGTGACTTCATTTGGAGATGGGCTTTTCTCTTCTATCCTCCCTGTCTCTCATCATCTCTAAATTTGTGTAGTGCAGGTGAGTTCATGCACTGTTCCACATCCACCACCATTGAGTTGACCCATGTGACCCTGCAGGACAGCAGAACTGCCCCGAGTTTCCAAGGCCACCGTCTACACAGAAGCAGACCACCTCGTGGCTCCATAGAGTAGCTGGTGGGTTTGAACCACCATCCTTCCAGTTAGCAGCCAAGTGTGTCACCAGTGTGCCACTAAATCTTTCCCTGTATATGGTGGTTATGTACCATTGAGTCAGAACCAACCATAGCTGACCCTCCAGTGGGTTTTTGTAGGCAGTAAATCACACATGAATTGATGGCCCATCTTTCTCCTGTGGGGCACCTGGTGTATTCAAACCATGTACCTTTGGGTTACCAGCTGCGCTCCTTAGCACTAAGCCACCAGA